ATAAACACGCGCCTTATCTATATCGTCGCCTATTAAAATATTGGAAGAGCACACAGTAAACGGGAGCTAAAGTGTGCCGATTTATTTTTCCGCCAAATCATGTTGATGTTTATAACTTGTTTTTCGATTTTTAATTTTCAACGTTTTGGTTCGCATCTGCAAGTTGGCAAAAAAGAATTCAGCTAAACAAAATATGAAATTTCATTATCTAGTCGATAACTGGTTAATACTGTTGCTACCTTATTTATTTATATAACAATAAAAACTATAAAATCTTTCAGTCATAATTTATTTATTCAATATAAGCTTTTATGAACCCTTATCGTCATAAAGACTAGCACAACTGCAGTAACAAAGTTAATACATTAAAAATTGATCTTTTGCAATATATTTAGCTAATTATGCTGATTTCATTATTGCTAAATCTATTTTTAGTCAACATGCTAGCAATGTATTCTTAAAAGATCCCCTATAATCTGCACTTAGATGAAATTTAGATGAGTTTAACAAATAAATTCTCGAAAAAATAATTAATTCATCTATTACAATCACTATCAAATAATGATATTGTTTAGAAATCCAAATGTTAACAATACAATTATCTTTATTCTTCATTTCACAAGAGCATTGACAGCAGTTAGCGTTCTTTGTGAAAGAAAATAATTTGTGAAATAAATTATTATAGTGATAATTATTGTCCCTTTGCTTTATAGCGCATGTTATAATCCGTAATGATAAAATAAATCCTTATAAAATTTATGTAAAGGGCTCAAACAAAAATTCCAAATTTATTGGTATTTATAGTTATTCCAATTTCATCCCTAATTGCTTATAGTTTGGATTCTCGTCCTAGAGTATGGAAAACGTTGGGTATAGGAATTTGCAAACAATTGCATTTGCAAAATGTATATTTGTTTACCGAATTATAGTTTGTCAGTTGGTAGGTGACGGTTTAATTCTAATCCAAAGTGAGCCACAAATTGCACAAACATGACGTTACAACACGATTGGAGCCGCGCCGCCTGCCCACAGAGCACAGTTGTATAGAATTACATTCAAATCAGCCATCGGCAACGTTAATTAATCTAATGCCGCTCCCGATCCATTGATTAGACAGTAAAAAGTACGACCTACTTACACACTTGCATATTTGCTTATGTAATTAACGCTAAACAAGCTTCTTATACACCGGACAATTTAAAAAGCCAATAAATAAATATCCAATTGTCAATGAATTTATTTTTTAATCTATTCAAAATGTATACCAAGTCTACTATAATCTGTATTATTAATCTTTTTTTATTCTCGCAGCGGTGAAACATTTTTCTACAGTTTTATTTACAAATTTTTAAACTGTATCAACTTTGTTTTGTCGCGAATTGACTTCACCTTATAAATATAATATGATGCTGCAAAATAACCATTGAGAAAAATTGTAATTAAAATCAATAATACCCTATCAGATTCTCACGCCCAAAGTTACCATATACTTCCTAGTGTTATTAACCATATCGTACATGAACTTTACAACATTAATAAGTTTATGCAACAGTTATGACGCGGAACATTATTTTATTGACCGTCAATACGACTAAAACAGCATCGCCTAAAGCTTGTAAGATATATCTATATTATAAGTACAATTCTTCTACGTGCCTGTATATTATTCACGTTGGTGGAACAAAAACGGTGCGCATGGCAGATCGACTTAATCTTCAACGTTACACAAAAGTTCTCGGAATTGTTGAAAACGCGTCGCAATTAAGTTCTAAATGTGGTGATTCAGTAGTAGATAAACCGTAGGTTCACCTCGCATCTATTTCTGTGCAAAGTAATAGAAAAAGGAAAATCATTCAGTCAATTTATTACGTCATAATGCTACGACTTAATACAGTAATCTACTTTGGGACTTTAACAATTCTGGCCAAAACTTATTTCATTTTCATAGTCAAAGTCAATGTCTTTATTCAATATAGAGAAGCATTACCCTTACTTATTGATTGTCAAAAAACTCTCAAAGAAAGCCACTGACCTGAGAAGAACCGACAGAAGAAACTCAGCGGGACATTTTTTTACTTTTTTTTAACTTGACAAAAAAATAACAAACATGTGAACATAAAATAACTTTATGGAGATATTCAACAACCATCAATCAATGAAATTACTTTAGAGAAATTTTAATATAACATACACAGATATTGAAAAAGCTACAGATAGGTGCTTCCGTGTCACCTAGAGAACGTTCTTTACGAAATAAATTCGTAACTTTCAGTGAATATTTACTTCTTTAGGATTATTTCAACTATTTTTAACATTTGGTTATAAATTTTGTGAGTAATAAGTCCGCTATACTTCTTTTTCCTAAAATGTTCGTAGCTTGTCCGCCAATCCGCAATGGGGCCGCGTGGTGGACTATGCCCTGATACCCTCTGTATAGAGGAGGCCTTTGCCCAGCAGTGGGACATGTATAGGCTGTTACTTTACTTTACTTTTATCCGTAGCTTAAATTGCTTATGGCTTAAACATACATTCCGTCCTCCTAACACTCTACCCGTCGGTCTTTTATATTCTCGATTATATTCGAAACTAAATTATAACCACCGAGCAGTGTACATCAGAATATACTGCAAAATTTTGCAAGCACGACATAAACGTCTAACGACATCGATATTACGAAACTGCATCTTCACAAGCCTAATTGCGCGGGGCGAGCTGTGGGCAAATGTCAAACTTAATGTATTTCACAGAACAATAAGCGCCTATTTAATTGAATATAATACAATAGGTACGGGATACCGGACATGTTCTATTCCATCGAGTCGATTGATCAGGCCATTACAACCTCGGAATAATGTTACTTTAGCATTTATCGATCGTAGCTGTGTTCTATTGACAAATCCACTTACGTTTATATAACTATATAATCTGATAGTTTATCCTTTTGAATTGATGTGCAAATATGTGTATTATCAATCTCAGAATCCTAGGCTTAACGCCGCGGCTGGTGTCAAGGGAGCTGGTTCTTTTCTCGCTCAAAGGTTAAGCATATCTATTCAGCGAGGAAATGCAGCTAGCGTTCTTGGCACCATGCCGCGTGGATTAGGTTTATTAGATAATATGTAATTTAGATAGATTTAATCTTATAAATATTAGATCAATGAAGAATTTGTAAAGATTAATCTCAGAATAAATAATAACCTACTCCTATTTAAAAAACAAAATTCGATGGTAGCAAAAAAACCGAGGGCGAATTTCATGTAACAGAAATATTAAGTGAATAATAAAAGATAGATCAGAAATGAAATACAATATACGTAAGGTTAGGGCTTATATATAAACTAAATGGTATTTAACCCGATCCAGACATAATAATTTACATGCATTAGTGTTTTTCTTTATTACAATACTATTGATACGTAAGACGTCTACGTACTTTTTAATTATTCTATAAATATTACTGAACGTAAAGGTAATATGAAAATAAATTATACGAGTTTCATAACTATGACATTTTACAAAATATATTTATGACTATTCTCCCTATATTAAACCTTCTTCGTAGAACGAATAACGTAATCGTTTAGTTATTCTAAATTAAAACGTTAAATCTACGAACACAGATTGAGATTTAAAATAAAACAAATAAGTTTAATTTACTTTTCGAACGTTCAATATCGAAAATCCATGTTCTGTGGTCGTGAATCAAATATTAACCCGAAAAAATACGAAAAATAGTTTTATTTGACATACCTGTCTAGTATTCGTGTAATTATAAGAAATTATAGCACGTTTATTTTGTTATATTCAGGAGAAAGTTCATTGTCAAGCAACTTCCGTGGTGCAGAGAATTATCTATTTTGATACAATTTGTGGATTTACTGTATATATTCAATTATTTTTATAATTACAACCATAGATATGCCATGAAAGTTAGTATCGTTTAATCGGTACGGGTAAATTACGATAGGCAGTGTGTTAGCCGACAGTTAAGTCTAACGCAGGGGTAGCTTAGTGTCTGGTTAAACATTTATAATTTCATACCACAGAAATAACAATAAATAAATTATAAAGTTTCATTAGAATCTATTTAGTAGTTTTTGCGTCAGAGTAACAAACATCCATCCACACATACAAACTTTCGCCTTTATTATATTAGTAAGGGTTATATGGTATATATTAAAATAATAATCACTTTATTCAGATCTAATCGAAAACATGAAAAAAAAATATAAAGCATTATTAAGCATCATTTAAGAAAAGTCGAAACGGTGTTTCTTCATCCGCAAAGAAAGGTGTAGACGTTTTCGCATTGTTCTTAGTCTATAAGTGGCGTTGATAAAATCTTTCAATAAACGAAACTTCCAACACCGAGACGCATTAAGAAAATACGTAAAATAAAATACAGTCATTTCGATTAACGGTGGTAGGGCCACGCAACAATTTCGACTGTTGCACGAATGGGCAGGTCCGTCCGGGTTAGTACCACGACCTAACAGAAGACCGGCGTGAAGTGGAAGTGTGATACTTCTGCGTATCGTCTGGTGTGTGGGTAGTCGGGGCCCACTTTATTAAAAAGGGACAACGCATCTACAACCTTATGGGTGTTGCAAATGTCCATGGGCCGTCATTTCAACCCTACGGGTGTTGCAAGTTTGCGTGGACGGTGGTTTTCACAACATCAAAATATATAGAAAATATCGAATTTTGCAATACAGATAAAACAGATACCAAATTATTAATGCTAAAATCTTTGCGTTCTATGAAACTTTAACAGTGTAAGGAAGGCAAAAACATAAGTTACCTATATAAAGATAAACGTACACTATGAATTGAGATACAGTCGCCCCAACAGATCCGCTGAGCGGGACCGCTTTGTTTCGGGCCCGATCAATTCGGCCCGCATTCCCGCGCGATGCCTTCGCCATTTCGGGGCGTCCCCGTCGGCGGCTCACCGTCCGTTGCCTTAAGCGTCGATTTAAGCCGAACTCATTATTCAATCGATGGCGGTTCTCGAAAGCGGACGCCTAATAAGTCGCGCGGCGGACGGCTTCTTGCGGCCCCCGACGGCCGCCCAGCCGCGCAAGTTCCGCTCCATTGAGGGTCCGACCTGGTGCGAAACGTCGCGGATCCGTGTCATAGCAGACGAACTGCTCACAGCTCTGAAGTTATACCAAGCTGGCTGTAGGATTCACAGCTCTGAAGTTATACACAGTTGGCTGTACGATACGACAGGCCGTGTAGGATTAACCCTAACCGATGCAGCGATGATTAGGAAAAGAGTAGCGGATAGAGCTCAGTAATTCTTTCTTAACCATGTTTAGGAACGTGAATTATTTTGGGTTGACCACCGTAATAGTATCAGTATAAAGTTTATTATATATAACCCATTAATACAATTATATATAACCCATTCTTGGGACTGAACTTCGGACTTCGTAAAAAACTCGAAACGTACTGACTCAATATGATACACCACTTGAGTTTCATACCGAAATCTACGAAGGAGATGTAACGTCCCAGTCATTAAATCATTTCACGAATGTAAATTCCCTGAGTTAATTCACGTCTACTGAGAATTAACAAAGAGTAGCCGCCCCTGCGTTGCACGGGTGCAATGTATTATACATATAAACCTTCCTCTTGAATCACTCTATCTAGTAAAAAAAACCGCATCAAGATCCGTTTCGAACTTTATAAGATCTAAGCATACATAGGGTCAGACAGACAGCGGGCCGACTTTGTTTTATACTATGTAGTGATAGAGCTAAACAAATTCGGTTTTGCTTGAAGGAAATAAACTATTTTGCCTGTTCTATGGCTGAATGAGGCAAATACCTAAATTATAAAATGATGCTTCGAAGAATTATGTACTGCAAATGTGGACCTGTTTAGGTATTGTGGTAGAGTCTCTTAAGAACTTCTGCTATTGCAGAAATAATCAAACATAAAGTAAAACGCTTTTAACTATGATGAATAAAGACCAATCTACAGTTTTTTTTCTACCGCTAGTAACCAAATATATCTGTAAATATAATATTAAAACCGGCCGTAAATATTTTATTATAAATATTATAATATATATATATATATATATATATATATATATATATATATATATATATAATATATATAATTATAATCAAGTGGGAAGAAAAATAGAGTCAGTTATATCTATCAGCACTTGGTAAGGCTACAATAAATATAAGTAAAAAATAATGCACCAAATTGAATGTAACTAAGCTTTCACAATTTAAATGGTTAATAAGCAACTTCGAAATATTTAATGCATTTATTATTTCAATCAAAAAATCAAAAAAATAAAAATATATTTATTCACATAGACGCTTGCGTGTTCTTATGAAACGTCAACATTTTACATAAAAATTAATACATTCGTAAGTAAGCAATGTTAATCTATCAAGGTTTCAAAACAGTTTCGCATATACATATTCCTGATCCTAATCTAATTTTTTTTTATATTTATTTATTGTTTCAGCCTTTATTTATGTCTAACGCAACTCAGATGATATCAAATTCATACATACTTATAGTCCAATATATTCAAAGTTCAAATATTGCATTATTTAATTAATTTTGTATTCTTAGGAATACGTAATTGAATGTTTTAAACATCATCATGTCGTTAAATTACATAAATTTAACTAATAGAAAATTGATATTACAGATTCTTTGATGTGGGGTATTGATTTTATTTTAAATATCACTGTCAATACTGTTAAGAAATCAATAAGCTTTATGCAAAGGATATTATAATTTAATGATGTTCTGTTACTTTTTTCAAACTTAACCGTAACACGTTGGCGTAAAGTATAGACTTTTCTTTGAAAAAAAAAAAACTACAAACAATTAGATTGTGAGATTTGTCATGAACTATCCAGAGAGATTAAAGCGATAGCTACTGTACTAATCTGTTGTATCTTCTACCTGAGCTGATTCGAAACGTTACCGTTGGTAAGTTTCAGTACAACCTATGTATTTGTGAAATTATATCACTATTTAATTATATTCTCTATAACATGTTGGAACACAATTTTTCCCATTCCTTATTGGAAAGTATTGAACGATAAGAACCTTATTTATATATTTAAACCCGTCTTCTAAATAGTTTCAAAAGAACTGCGTGGAAATGTAACTAATCTTTGAGAAATATTGAAACTAATAATGTAACATAAAACTTCAAACTTTAATACGCTAAGACATATATTCAATTATTAGAGGCTATAATTACAATTTTCTCTATTTTAAAACATTGGATTCAATAAATTGGGTAATGAGGTAACATTTGTAATTGCTTAAAAAGTAAAATATAGGTAGCCTATTTCATATCCCACTTGTGGACAACGGCGTCGTTGTACATAGGGCATAGACCACCACTCGACCCCATTGCGGATTTGGATTGGCATTGATTTTGACAGACTTCAAATATCTTCAATTTGTTTTGTTATTATTTCAAAAATATTCAAGGTTTTTCATTATCTTTTCCTTCACCCCTGAGTATATTTGCTTGATTGACTATAACTATTTATAAAATCAATAAATAAATGGCTTCAAAATTAAAATTATAATAAATTGCAATGTCGGAGTATTTCTTTTCCCTTTTCGTATTTATAGAAAATAGAACATTATGTATAAAACATTTTTTTTCTCATTAAATGTAAATTATTTTGTGCTACGGCCATGTTATTAATAATTACTATTTCCTTTTGTAACATTCTTTCACACCCGGCAATATTTACACAAATTATTAGATGTCATTTTATACCTAACGTAAAGTGAATTTTAGGGTTCTATATCAGATATCTATATCCTAGACGTAAAATAATACAAAAAACTGTTTACGAATATAATTTTATTAACAATTTCAATTTAATGACTGTAATTTAAGTCGATATCATATTTACAATTTGCTTTGTTTATACATTTTTACAATTCTCCCGCGAGTACCTACTATGCCTAAGTACTAATTCTAGACCTTTTATTTCTATCTTTTAATTCACAGACAAAATAGAGAACAAACAGTGAATGGAGGAAAGTATTGCAATTAAAAAGTGAGGTTCATTTTATACCTAACATTTTAACAATATATCGAGTTTTCAAGATCAATTGGAGGGCGCTGCAGTACGATTATTTAATTTTAATTACATAGGAAATTTTTATAGCGCGATTGTATGCGTAAGCTAGGCGCGTAAATAGACGGTTTAAAATATAGCATTTTTACGCAAATCCAGTTACATGATTACGCTATTTCTTATAGTTTACAATTAGGTAACTTATGCTGACTTGTTATTTCTGCCAATTATATGTGCTTAATATAAATATATAGGTTATTAATAAAATTATTTGATACTTACTAATTAATACTTTACAATTCATTATATATAACTTAAGACTATATTTAAATATTTCAACTAATTTTGCTTCCAATTATTATAAAACAACGAACTGTAAGAGTCATTAAACAAAAGTTCAAACGAGTTTGTGGTGTATTGCAAGAAAATGTGACATTTAAAGGCTTTCTATTTATTAAGATATAAAGCCAGCCACATTATACTGTTAATATTTAAAAAGAACCTACTAGCTTCAACAAATCGCTTGTAATTCTCTCGCACATGGTCAGCAGTTTAAAATAGGCCTACTCGTAGTGTGCGTCCGTTTGGAAAATACGCGGGAATCAAGTAGCCATACTGCAGCGCCTCGTCCACAGAATATAGGTTTAGATTTATAATAAATTACTTAAACGAAAACAGTCACTGTTGTCCTATAATAAATCGTTTGGGACAACTTTCGAGCATTGCGAACTTTCATATTCAGGTACACACCTTTATAATACCACAATAGAATCTATTATTACGAACATAATTATCTACATCGCTAACCAATTTATACAACTAAAAGCTGATATGATAAATAAATTCTTCATTTATTGGTAAAATAGGATATATAAAAACGCTCCTCGGCAACGCATAAAGGTCCGCCTCTTAACTAAGTATGTATATTAAATAAACAAATATAAATTATAAATAAGTAAATAGCCTAACCCATCGCGTACGGTGGATAGGTTGCACGGATGCTATGTAACAAAATTAACCCTGTCTTAATTAAAGTCCATAAAACATTGGGCTACGATAACATCGTCAGCACTGGCCGATTGTTCAACGGAAGGGCTAATCTCACTAAAAGTGCAGAGGTACATACCTGATGCGGAGCAATGTCGTTCATTTAACTCATATCACTGGCCGAACACTTCCCAACGACAACGAAACGGTGCGAGACGCCTAAGATCACACGCGCGCCAACTGACTGTATTGCGACGCGAGCACTGCTGTCCCCTTGGCACACTAAGCGGCGCGGCGCTACTCCTCGTCCACGTTGATCTCGGAGTCGGCCGAGTCCTCGTCGTAGGTGGAGGAGGAGGCGAAGCCGCGGCCCAGCAGCGCGGAGCGGTTCTTGGCGGCGGCGGCGCGGTCCCTCTGCCGCCGGTTCTTGAACCAGTTGCCGACCTGCGTGGGCGTGAGGCCCGTGGCCGCCGCCAGCTCGCGCTTCTTGGTCGGGTTCGGGTACGGGTCCTGCAGGTACCACTCGCGCAGCAGCGAGCGCGTGCGCTCCTTGAAGCAGTGCGTCTTCTGCTCGCCGTCCCAGATGGTGCGCGGCAGCGGGAACTTCTTGCGCACGCGGTACTTGTCCACGGGCCCCAGCGGCCGGCCGCGCAGCCGCTCCGCCTCCTGGTAGTGCGCCTCGAGCCACAGCGCCTGCAGCTTGGCGTGGCTCGAGCGCTGGAAGCGGTGCCGCTCGAGGATCGCGTACAGCTCGCGGTGGCGGCCCGCATGGAAGGCGACCACGGCGCGCGCGCGCAGCACCGCCTCGCAGCGCTCCAGCTCGGCCACGTTGGGGTGCGCCACCGGCAGCGACCAGAGGAAGCGCGCCAGCCGCTCCACGTCGCCGCTCTCCTCGAGCGTCTCGCACACGGTGGCCACCTGCGCGGCGCTGAACGAGAGCGTGGGCAGCGGCAGCAGCGGCGTGGGCGCGGCCAGCTCGAGCGCGGGCTCGCAGCCGGCCGGCTCGGCCGCGCCGGGCCCGCGGTGCGCCTCCAGGATGCGCGCGTGCAGCGCCGCCGTCGTGCACTCGTCCCACGAGCCGCGCATCGGAGCGAGTGTGCGCGCCCGAGTGCAAAGCGCCGCGCCCGGCCGCCCCGCCGCCCCGCACCGCCCCGCCGCGTCGCACCGCGCCCCGGCCTGGGCCCGCCCCAGGCCCCGCCCGGCGCCGTTTAACGCGCTCGCCCGCGGCGCCCCGCTCCGCCATGATCCGTCACGCACACCGCCCCCTCCGGCCCCTCCGCTGCCGCCGCGCCCCTCACCCGCGCCGCCGCCTCCGCCGCTCCACCTGCGAGCCTGCAATTAATAGCCTCCATGTATTCATCCGGGTGGATTACATGCCTCCATTTGGCCGTGTGCGCCGCCGATCGATGCCACCGCACACACCTAATCAGCGATCGCTCGGCCTCCGCCGCACCGATTATAATCCGCGACGCTACGGACGCTTGCCGCGATCCTCTACGCAAAATGCCAACGGACGCGCCTAAGCTTATTCGCAACATTTATACTCTAAAGCTATCTCTTATCTGTAAAGCTAATTATTAATGAAAATAAAATAACTTTCTTATATACCGTTATTTTTATTCTCTTACATTGATGTGTGAAGCTTCATATAACAAGCTTCGTCAATTTTGATATTCGAAGATTCAAATGAAATGCTATAATAATAATGAAAATCCCTCAAGCACCAAAACGGGGCGGTCGCGCTACGGCCGGGGCGAGATTTCAGCGTGAAAGCCTTTCCAGAGTATTAAGTTATTGAACGGCAAACCACACCCAGGCGGCTGTAACGCTACACAGGTGCCCCCGCCACCCCATCGGCCCTGGCCCCCGTGGTCCCCCGGAGCCCCCACCCGGCCCGCTCAGATTGTGAGTCTTGTTACTCCTGTATTCACGCAGATTACGTGTATTCATGGTAATACGGCGGCGCTATTCAGAATGGCCATTTTCACGACACCCGATTAAATCACCCAATGCGGATACGTAGGCAACAATATCATAATATTGTTATATTCTGTTTGCGTAATTATTTCCATAATTTCGGTGTCGGTTGCACCGTTAGAATTGCTTTATGTATTTATATAATATGTACTCAGTATTTAAAAATGTTGATAATTATTTTGTTTATAAGAAAATTACTTAATCTTATTCCATAGAATAGAATATAATTTATTGCAAACAAGGAAATACATAGAAAGAAATTACAAGTGTGCGTATACGGGAATGAATTAACATTTTCTTCCTTTTATTATTCAAAGTTTATTATACATTTTCTAAAAAAAAATATCAGTATTTTAAAAATTTACCAAAGTCATAAAATTATTTCGTTTTTAGATAATAACATAACATCGTAAATTGTATACCATAATCTATAAATACGTAACTATATGAGTAACTTTGCTTGTTTCTATTGTTATGACGTAGCGTCTGTGTAGAAGAGAAATAAATACAGCTCTTAACTAACTACCTATTTATCTGTATTTACATAACTATGCCACTCCAAAATTCATTAAAAAATTCAAAAATCTTGTAATATGTTAATGTAGGTAGATCCTGTAATTGCAATATATGTCTTTACCATGCGTAGTATTATCTTAGTAGTTTGTAGTCTTTACGGATATAGAATGGCGAGATCGATTCTGTTATTTTTATTCTTACACATTAAGCCAAAACTCTCATTTGCGTTTATGCGGTAATAAATTTAACCGACATGTTAACGTAGAAACCACTTATTTGTATAACACACGGATTATAATTATTTCACATTTGCATAACAAACAATTTAAATTTTAATCCATTTGCGGCACGAAGGTAAAATCATAGTTTAAATATATGATTTATTCATAAAGTACAATTTTAATACTTTGATTACATTAACAATATCATGTTGAACACTTTAATATTCAATGTATTTATTTAATCCATGTTTATATAATTCATATTAAAAATAAAAGGACACCGAGTATTATAAAAATTACATGACGTGGCGGATTCAATACTTGGAAAATAATTAGGTTTCTGTTGACAAGAGAATTTCGTGTCCTAGGAAGAGAGTAAATATTATAATTTCTGAAATTTGACATTACAAAAAACACACGGTAAATGTCAACTTGACATATGATATGAGTCTCCTCTTGCATATGCTCGGATACCAACATCTTTTCTGTCGTTTAGTTTTTTTTCTGTAGGAACGTATGCATTTGATTTTAATAGTTAAAAACAGTCATTGGACTGTTAGATTTAATCGTTACATCGTTATATTATAACATCGGCATATTATAAAGCATAATACAAGGTTTGCAAGTCCCCAATAACATATTTAAAAACTAATATTAATTTATTTTTGCTCTATTAAGTGAACACATCCGTTGTAACAATAATAATGTTTTATTGCGGGCATTGTAACAACGAATATTGTGTCAACGATAAAGTTGTCAATTTCTTCGACCATAGAGATCGTGTATACGTAATGGGCATGGAGACACGGCATTGTCGCGATCCCGTTGTTTCCCGGGATTGTAGCGCAATTTGCATTTTTCGCGCAGCCCGCCGCCGCGCCGGGGAGGTTTTATCCGGGCTTTCGAGTTGATTACTCCATCTGCTCGCTAAATCTACTTACGGACTTTCGCGGAATTAATTCTTGCAGCTTTGTTCCGGAGAAATTTAATTCTTGCGTATTGGGCTTTGTTTACGTTCGGGAAGCGAAAGGTTGGTACATGATGACACGGTATTGCTAAACGCAGACATAAAAAGCTATTATTTTATTGCAACAATTGTATCTTTGTAGGATTCCTATATTAGTATTGTAATATACTTCTAAAGTACTTTCTGTAAAGTTTATCTTTTGGTTTTTCTTATTTTACCTACCGCGCTTGATACTAAAGGTCATAAGGAGTTTTTTTCTTTTTTTATGTGAAAGGTTGCCAAACGAACAGACGGTTCACCTGATGTTAGGTGAATACCGCCGCCCATGGACATCTGCTATACCCGAGAATTACAGGTGCGTTGACAACCGTTTGAAAATTGGGCTCCGGCTACCTCACTCACCATACGGAACGCGAAAGTATTTTTCATACTCCCACTTTACGCTGGTCTTCTGTGAGGTCGTGGTACTTACCCGGACGGGCCTGAGGCTGCTGCGTGCGTTTATTAAAACAATAGAACAGCTTCAAATTATTTTCATGTCATCGCATTAAAGACTTACTTTAATAAAAAATAACTGTGAATTACTTTGATGAACGAATCGAAGAAAAGAATATACGCATGTGATAGCATAAAGTACATGCACATTAAAATAAACATTTATTAACGTTCGTAAAGTCGGTTACGGCTAACCTTGTCGCAGCATTAACTATTTATAATATTTATGGGCTTCCAAGTTTGATTGCGAAATTATGTAAAGAGGCACTTTAAATAGCTTTATGGGATGCGTCGTTATTGCAAAGTTTTTGAGTTTCGAGAGGCGCGGATTAATCGCGAAAGCACTTCTCAACCTCCAACCTTTTGACTCGTAAGTTGCCACGCAGCGTTTTTAGACTTGTGAGAAATCCGTGACGTCGAATATTTAACGCTAGCGTCTAAGGGGCTTGCGGTAATCTATTTTTAATGATGCCACAAACAAAAAGAAAACAATTACGTTGAGCGTGGCAATTTGGTAATTCGGGAATGTTCAGAAAAAGAAAGTGAAGAAGGTGTACATTTAAAGAAGTCTTTCTTAGAAAGTAAAGCGATGTTATTTTCTCTGTCTTACTGTTACTTTCGATGTTATATTCGATTTATTATCTTTCTTTCAATTCACATAGTAAAGTTAAACTAATTAACTTTACTATGTGAATTGAAAGAAAGATTTGATACATTTATATTAGAATTTCACCGTTAATGATAGACCTATAAAAATGCTGATTAACATTGCAAACTTACAACAACATATAGGAACTAGGCAAAAATAATGGGCATTTACTGGACTGATGCTTAAACCAAATATGGTTAGTGACCATCCGTTGGGAAAGAAATGAAGCGTCAGACAGTGCGTGACAAAAAAATACTCACCCTAAACATCAGCTGTTACCAGGACAATACCAAATAGGAACAATTTGCTCACACCTTGCTCTCTCTTATATCAGTTATCTATATGCTGTGTTATGATGAGGTAATCACCACTCGCTGAATGAATATAATGAATAAAAGGTCAATAATTTTAATTCACTATTCACCTTTAATCGCCTTAAATTATTGCGAAATTATCAATGCCCAAATTACTTGCCGGGCATAAGTACTCGTAACATGAAATGTCATCTTTGTCTCTGTTTGTTCATTATACCCTGTGTATTTAATCTGAGATGAGATCAAATATGACCCAATAACTATCAACTCAGATCTGACCCTACAGCTGTACAATATGATCCCATAAAATAAACGATGTCCAACATGTTATGTTCATTTCATGTGTCCGACAAGCGATTGTAAGAAATAAACGAAGCCTTGAGACGTTCCATAAGTTCTATACAGTTATCTCCATGCCCTAAACTATTTTTTATGATCTAGAAACAACTACCGTAATATAATTTTCCATTCTCATTCCTGTTTGGTTTAACATATTATTAATGGATCTTTTACCGATGAAATCAACCCGAAGGTAGAACCGTGACTTTAAGAAGTAACGATATTAGGCAAGATCTATCAAAGTAAGGATGCATCGCCCAACGACAGCGTTTGTGTTAATATATTTCTGTTTGTCTCCAATATCAATTACTCCGAAGCGACTACGTCGTACAATTATGGCGTCGCATAGAGCATTCTAGAGCGCCAACGAAACTTGGATACCTACCTCCTCTTATGTTCCAACTGCTAAGTGGCTCACGTACACTGAATCTGCTCCGAGTGTAATGTTCGTATCGCACGCTCGCCCGCGGAGCCTTCTGTTCCTAATACCCTCCTGAGGGGTGGGGGCCCCCGATCGATAGGGGCTGGGGGGTAGCGCTATCTTTGTTTGGATGATATAAAATCTTCAGAGGGTGTGGTCTACAGGTAGGGTTGACATGTGAAAACAAGTCCCAACTCTATCGAAACTTTGCCATGCACGTAACAAATCGGCAGATTTGTTCCCGGTATCGGAAACTTTAGGACGGTGTACTACGGCTGTGTTCGACGTTTTTAAATTTAATCTTCGCCGTATAGTTTTGATACTTTTCTATGACGTGTAGTACATTCAACATTTTTCGACTACGTATGGAACTCGTCATCATTATTCAATAATCAAAGGATCTCACATTTTAAATAAACGACGCTAATACAGCTAGATCCTTCAAAAGAGTATACAAATAAGTCCTCAGAATAGTGAAAATTTAAATTTGTGCATAAATGTTTTGTATTTAAGATAGTTGTACCAACTTATAAAACAATTTTATATAAAATACAATTTTATTTAAAACGATTTTGACAACCATACCTTAATCAAGTACCTACACAAAAGTAAGAAGATTATTTTTTGCAATGTTGATAATGTTTGTAGTACTTCAGTCTACATCCAGTACATACATACTTTATATATTTACTTACTCTCTCTATGAAGGTAGAGCTACGTATACATTGCCAATTTCTGCTCTATACAATATTATATTATTAAATGAACCAATAAAGGTCAATACAATGTTTTAGTTGCTGTCTCTTTCGACTTAAATGAGAGTCAAAATGATGTATTAAAAATAAAGGAAGATAAATTCTCCTAGTAGAAAAATAATTGTAGAGCACCTCAATTTGACTTTTTTTATGTGAGAAAGTGTCAAGCGTGTTATGTTTAGTGATAACCACCGCCCATGGAGATTTGCAACACCAGTTGCAGATGCGTTGCCACCTTTTAATAAGTATACAAATAGATTATTAGAATAGGATGAATAGAATATTTTGAATAAAGTGGGCTCCAGTTCCTTCAATCACCAGGGGAAACGCAGAAGTATAACATTCCCAATTCACTCCAGTCTTGTGTGAGGTCGTGGTACTCCCTCGGACGGACCTGTCCATTCGTGCAACAGCGAAGACTGCGGCGTGACCACAGTTAATCTGATAGCAACCAGCAGATGGCGTCCTGTTTTCATTCGACATCGTCTTAGTACTATAACAATGTGAACTGCTATAAAAAAAAACTCGCCACGAAATAACGTCACTTCGTTATCATATATCTATATATAACTGGTCTACATTCTTTCCTAAAGGGCGTCAACCCGGTGTTGCATGTTCGTGGGCAGCGGTGATCATCAGGTAAGCCTCCTGCTCGTTTACCCCTTTTTATCCATAAAAAAAACTGATAATCAAAATTAAACCGCTTTAAATGCACCACAGAACATTACATTTATATCCATGATTATCATTAACAGCTTGAAGTTAGTTACTAACATGAAACAAAAGATATTCATCCCGTGAAGATTAACCATTACATTTCGTAAGGAAGCACGGGACAAAACCGTTTTTAAAAGTCCATTCTACTAGGTGTTTCGTAGCTACTGTAGGGTACAGCGCCACCCAAAGGGCAGAACTAAACGCGACGAGTAGTAACATTCAGTTCTAGCGCATTACTTAATAATAAAGCTCGAAGGCGCGGCACCCGCTGAATTAGCGTCTACACGACAATGGGCGCTCGCCGCGGCGGTCCTGGGTTCGACTGCAAACGTCCCAGCCTCATCCTGGCGGGGTTATGGCCGTTCACAAATCATTCGCGCTAAGCGATGTGTCCGACCGCTAGCGATACCCCGCGACCGTAAAACGGAGTTACGTGACGTATGGTGCATTGTCCGCCCCGCCAAGTTGGCTTTGCGGCCGATCTGTTGCGTGCTGCTGGTCGTCGATCTTACTGCGCGGAGCTAAGGCCTGTTTCTCTTCAGCACGCACTCTGGAGATGAACACGTCCCATACTATGTTGCGGAACAGTAGCGTCGCGGATTTTACTTTCGAATCGGCGAACTCCAAACGGCACATTGTATTCGACGCGCTCGGCGGCCGCCCCGCCGGATTTTATGATAGCGCGCCCCGCTTTAGCGACGATTGAACTGTTCATTCTTCGCGGCGATTGCGAAGTTTCGCGGCCCGATTGGCCTTTGTCTAGATCGCGGATGAAGCGGGGCCGACGCCGCCGCTGATCAACTGTTGCCGAACATTTTCCGAAACAGGGTTGCGGGAACAATCCCGCTAAATTGAAGCCAAACGACAGGCAATGTCCGTATAATAAACAAATATTTTAGGACACAGTTTTTCACAACGTTCCCTAGTACCGTTTTGAAATAGTATCTTTAGAGAGTTCTTTGAACTCCATAACAAAAAAGTATGAGGTATCACAAAAAGAAATAGCTGGACACATTTCAGCTATGAACGACCTGCTAGATATATGTAAGCATAACACAGACCGCTTTGAATCACTTACAAAAAACTGTGTTTGTGAGTGTCAAAGCTCTCATGGTCTTTCACAGCTGAACATTGACAAAGTGTCCCCTACCCAGTCTGCTGAGTCTCTCAACAGCACCATGCATGGAGAGGCAGTACAACATACCCCCAGTCATAATGTAAAGATTTATAGTGATGAATTAGGTAGGAGTATGGGGTTGTTGCTTCACAATGTATGTAAGGGACAATTAGTGACTAATTTTTGTATGCCTGGAGCTACCTATTCTCAAATAATGAGGACTATCTTGACAAGTACTCATTGTCCCAACACCATTCTGATTGTATTAATTGGGAGAAGGGGAAGTGTTAATAAACAACTCTTGCGGAACTATCATGATCAATTAACAAACTTAAATGTAAAAAAAATAATAATGTTCACACTTCCCTACATTAAGGGGTTGCCACAGGAAAATGATTGTAGACATAGTCTAAATAACAGCTTGTATATCCTTACAAATAATAATTATGTACCTTTGTACAATACCGACAAAATGAAAATTCACTTAATTGACATAAATAATATAATAAATAATAAATCAAATAGTTTGACATATGATAGGTACAACCTATCCAATTATTTTATAAGACAGATAGCTCATGTGCTATCATATTGTATTTTTTTTAACCAAGCCAAATTATTGGCTAACCATTCTGCTGTTTCTATTGAACAGCAAGGAGATATGACTAAAAAAAATTTGGAATTTGTTCCAATTAATTTAAATTAAATAACAAGACAACGGAGGCAATCTCAGGCACATTAATTATAAATAATTTGAATTATTGTAATAATTTAATGAATTGTCCAAGAATATTAACCAAAAATATAAATTATAAAAATGGCAATAATTGTATAAGCCTGGTGCATCAAAACATCCAAGGAATGCTAAATAAAGATCTTGAAATTGAGTTATTCTTAAACAGCAATAATATTGACATTTTATGTATTACTGAACATTGGCTCTTGGATTATCAATTTATGTTTAACTTCAGATGTCACCAGGTTGCTAGCCTGTTCAGCAGAGAAAAAGCTATACGTGGTGGCTCTCTAATACTTATCAATAATGCTGTGAAATTTAAAAACCGTAAAGATATTGTGAGCCTCTCTGTTGAGCAGACTATTGAAATAGCCTGTGCAGAGCTTGAGCATTTCATTGTTGTATGCGTATACAAACCTCCTAGTGCGTTATATGAATCATTCGAAAATAGATTGGAAGAAATATTATTGAAATTATCTGAATCTAATAAATTTATGATTGTCTGTGGTGACTTTAACATAAATCTTCTAGAAAATTCTACCACCACTATTAGATTCAGATCATTGTTAAATTCATATAACCTTTCTAACCTATTTTATGAACCAACTAGAATCACTACTTCTTCGGCAACTTGTATAGACAATATATTTACAAATTATGAACCAATCGATAAGTCAATTATTAATATGTTAAATTCAGACCATTGTGGACAACTTGCAATTTTTAAATTATATAACAAAAGTAGTGATGATAAATTACAAAAAATAATGTTTGTTCCTGTAAATAGAACTCGTATTGAGAAGTTTAGAAGTAATATAACAAAAAAGCTGACATATTTACCTTATAATGACAGTCCAGATGCGCTTTACAACACATTATTTAAATTAATTAAAACTGAATTTAATGCTATATTTACTTCTAAGACAGTCAATCGTAAAAGCTCTGCAGTTTTCAATGATTGGGCAACAGTCGGAATTCATAAGAGTAGGCGTAGACTGTATGAACTGTATAATGAAAGGACATTCAATCACAGTAATTCTTTTGTAGCTTATGTTAGCGCCTATTCTAAAATATTTAAAAAAGTTTGTTATCTGGCTAAATCAATATTTATTAAAAATAAAATAAAAAGCGCATCTGATAAAATCAAAATGACGTGGAATATAATAAATAGTGAAACGGGTAGACTTACGAAGCGCAACTCTGACTTAACCTTAACTGATGGTATTAATACTATTCAATCTAATCAGGAGGTTGCCAATTTTTTCGAGAAATTTTTTGCTGACATTCCTGTTTCTACAACTAAGTCACTTCTCTCTTCTCCGACAATTGCCGAATCATTACTTAAGAAAAATGTTATGGAATGTAAAGAAAACTTTAAGTTTACTACTGTTAATAAGAACGATATCATAAAAACATTCAAATCTCTAGATATTAAAAGAACTGCTGATCTATGGGGGATCTCTGTCAAGGTGATCAGTTCTATAATTGATGTAGTCTCACCTTACTTAGCAACTATTTTTAATATTTGTATTCAACGTGGCGAGTTTCCTGACCTTATGAAACATAGTAAGATTATTCCGGTGTTCAAATCTGGTAGTACTTCTGACCCCAGCAATTTTAGACCTATTTCAGTACTACCGACTCTTAGTAAAATTTTTGAAAAAATTATTTTGAATCAAATGTTACTCCATTTTAGTACACATAAATTGCTGCATAACAAGCAATATGGATTTACTAGGGGTCGCTCAACAACAGATGCGGGTATCCAGCTTGTGAAGAATATTTTTGAAGCCTGGGAAGAGTCACAGGATGCCTTAGGTATATTCTGTGACTTAACTAAAGCATTTGATTGTGTACAGCATGACACTCTGGTCAGGAAACTAAACCACTATGGTATAAGAGATGCCGCACTCAATCTTCTGACATCGTACTTGAGCTATCGTGTTCAGAGAGTTGACGTGAATGGCAAGAGATCTCCCGGGGCCCTGGTAAGTATGGGGGTTCCACAGGGATCTATTCTGGGGCCTTTTCTCTTCCTCATCTACATAAATGACCTGCCCTATCTTGTAAATAATGATCATGAGATAGTATTGTTTGCTGATGATACTTCTTTAATTTTTAAAGTTAAACGACATTCTTCAAATTATGACGACGTTAACAATACTCTCTCCACTGTAGTGCATTGGTTTAGTGCTAACAACTTAATGTTGAATAGTAAAAAAACGAAATGTATTAAATTTACAACTCCCAACGTAAAAAGTGTAAAAACTGATGTACTTTTACATGGGGAAGCGTTAGACCTCATTGACTCGACTGTATTTCTTGGCATAACCGTAGATGCCAAATTGCAGTGGGGCCCCCATATTAATAAACTGTCGAGTAGACTTAGCTCAGCAGTCTTTGCAGTCAAAAAAATTAGACAGTTGACTGATGTGGATACGGCTCGTCTGGTATATTTTAGCTATTTCCACAGTATAATGTCTTATGGCATTCTACTTTGGGGAAATTCAGCCGACATAAATACTATTTTCATCCTGCAAAAGAGAGCTATTCGAGCGGTTTATAACCTGGGCCCCAAAGACTCACTAAGAAACCTGTTTAAAGAAATAAAAATATTGACTGTAGCTTCTCAGTACATACTTGCTAATGTTATGTATGTCCACAAAAATAAGAATGACTTTTCAAAATTTAGTAATGTGCATGATGTAAATACTAGGAACAAGCATAAATTAGTTCTACCCTCAACTAGATTGCGTAGAATAAGTAAATCTTTTATGGGACAATGTATACGCTTTTACAACAAAATCCCAGAAAACGTTCAAAATGAATCTGTTGCTAAATTCAAAAAACTTGTAAAGGAACGTTTGTGTGTTAATGGCTATTATAGTATTAGTGATTATATGAATGATAACACACTCTGGAAATGAATTGATCGCTCCAGGCTCTTTCAAGTGGAGTTTAATAGGAGTCTAATAATTGTACACATATTTGTAACTTTTTTGGCAAGTAAAAAAAAAAAATAATGTCCCGCTGAGTTTCTTACGCCGGTTCTTCTCAGGTCAGTGGCTTACCTTCCGAACCGGTGGTAGAGTTTTTTTGACTATCAATAAGTAAGTGAATGCTTCTATATTGAATAAAGATATTTGACTTTGACTTTGAAGTACCAAATTAAGCAACGCTTTTACTATGGGTACTAGATAACTAATAAACATACTTTTCTTTTGTAAATAAATACATATTATACATATATAAACACCCAGACACTAGAAAAACGCTATGTTCATCACACAATATTTTACAGTAATGGGATCGAACCCACACCCTCTGACGCAGGAGGCAGGTACACCACCCACTACGCCATACGGGTCGTCAAAAGGCTACGCTATTCTATAGCAATTCATCTGTTTATGAACCTATCTGCTTTCTAATCAGTAGTCACGTTGATAAGTTTTTTAAGCGATAATAATTTCTTTTTTTTTTTTCGATTTTATCGATTGGCAAAGACCCGTGATATCTCAGTGTCAGGTCGCTCAATTTTAATTCATTATTCTCGAGCAACTCGAGTTCAAATCCAATTGTGTAATTTTAAATGTTTACTCCTCACGTGCTGAGCAGTGAAGGATAACATCGTGAGGAAACACATTTACGAAATGATATCAAAAATATATCATTCTTATTCCGTTTTCCTCCACTACCTACCATACTCTCAAATATTTAAGTATAAATAGTACGTTGCGGTTAATCGATATGGAAATAAAATTACATACGTCTCTGTTAAGGATC